ATCAGTTTTTGAATTACTCACACCAGCCTGTCTGGCACCAACAACTATGCCATGTTCAAAGTCACTTAAATCCCCCTTTTTTTCCCCATTCTGATGCTCGGTTTGAACTTCAGCAAGTCTTCTTCACCACGTCTAGATGCCGAAATGCATTGAGTTGCTGCAATGTGATTGGCTGATTAGCAATTTGCCAAGCAATTGAACAGGTGTACCTAATAAAGTAGCTGGTGAATGTATATTGTAAAAGTTTCCACACTGAAAACCAATGTACAGGTGTGTGTGTGTAAATATATGTGCCTGCATATAAACGGTAACCTTATTTCAAATGATCTTCTCCATTTAGTTCTCTGTCATCGAATGCGCTGAAATCTGCTGCATCATCTGGAGCAGTCAAGAGAAAAGACCCAGTACAGAGCCAAGCCAAAGAGAAGAAAAAGAAATCTGCCCTTGATGAAATCATGGAGGTGAGAATTGTTCATATCAGTTTGTAAAGGTTTTTAATCCGCTGTTGGATTAGTGTGTGTATGTGTTTTTTTTTTTTTTCTTTTTACTTAGAATATCGAGTCAATACATTTATTTAACATAACCCATCATACAGTACACCTGACATTTGTTGGTGCTCTAAAAACACCTTTACTGAGTGTCATTTGGGAATGTTCTCTGTTGCATTGGATTACATTGCCTGCCCTGCCTAGATAATCCTGCAGTTATCCCAACAAAGTTTTTAGGATGGTACTTGCTGGATACATGTGCCTAACAGGACTGTACCAGAAGCACACAGAAGCAATTGGGTTTTCACACAACCCATGCTAATATGCCAAGTTATCAGCCTCTGATATAAAATCTTACAAAATAGTTTTTCTCTGCAGTAAGGAACCACAAAAGTTGACATGAAAATTTTGATTGGTTAAGCAATAAACAGTACAAGAAGTAGAGTATAATAACCCATAATGTTCAGATTTTGATGCATGGCTGAAGTATTCGTGTGTTTACATTTTGGTGTATTCCTTGCAATTTTTTATACTGTAGAAATGAGCAGTGATGACCGCATGTGTGGCAATCCTTTCAATACTAATGTGGTCCTAGCTGTCAGTAAAATGTGAGTATTTTGCACATGCATTCAGTGTTGCCTATGTGTGAAAGATCAGTGGCACTCAGCAGCTTTTTTTCTTTCTGTCATTTTCGGAAATGTTTTTTTTGTTTTTTTCCTTAGAATGGCAGTCAGAGAACCAGTCATGGTTGAAGTAATGCAACAATCTAAACGTTCTTTCCTCATTTAGAATTCTGCAGGGTTTGTGGAAGATTTTATTTTTATACCCTTATTTAGCTTTACTTCGTGTGAGGAAAGTTGCCTCTCTTGTATTTTTGTTGTTACTTGCACCTTTAGGAAGCTTACAATAAGGCTTACCTAGAGGTACAGTGAATATCGCCTAAATGTGTGCTGTATAGGAGGTATTCACTGCTGCTGCAGCCAGGGATGTCATGTGAAGTGCACTCAGCGTTCAGGGCACACGGAGTGTGTCGTCAATGCAGAGAGCGCTGTGTCGCGTGCGCAGGAGTTGCATCATCGGGACCTGGCCATTCAATCAGCTGTAGAGCGTGAACCCGGAAGGAAGGCTGGTGAAGATGAAAGTGCCTGCAGCAGTGGCAGTGTGCTGCTGGAGAGTTCTGTTTGAAAGGTAAGTCTGTCATAATGTGCTAGTTTGCAGTGCATACTAGCACCTTATGATATTAATCTGCAGTGAGCCCAGTTGTATGTATGTATGTGTGTGTGTGTGTGTGTGTGTGTATATATATAATATATATATATATATATATATATATATATATATATATATATATATTTTTTTTTTTTTTTTTTAAGAGTGTACTACCTCTTTCAGGGGACAGTAGTGAGACTGAACAAAGCTAACAAGCCAAGAGTCTAAGATTTACAAATTACTGAAAATAGAGATCGTTATTTATGGCAAAGCCTTGTGACTAGAGCCTGGTGTGTATTGACAGCGTGGGATCAGTCAGTGCAGCAGCTGTCTGACTTCAAGTGATTTGTTACCCTTAAAGTGGGACTACACTGCGTCTGAGCACCACAAACCAAAAAAGCTACTGTATTTAATTCATTTTTAATATTTAAATCACATTTTCCCACCACGGCCAATCAAGATGGCCAAAGACTGACATCAGAAACAAGTTGGAGAGAAGATGGCAGTGAGGGAGCTTGCGGGCATCGGACTGTTAAAGCAGAGGTAAGTATTTTGGACTTTATTTCCTCTTTAAGACTGAATATTCAGATTCTCCCATAACAAAAATGTTGGATTTTCTTAAATGGTAAACTGTAGGCAGATTCAAAAGATGAAAATTAATGCAGTTCTGTAAGTCGCTACATCATTAAATGTATTTGTGAAATGCAAACAGTGTACCTATGCAGCACTGACTTGTAAGATGTAGCACGTGAATACTTTTTTTTGGTTTTTGGGAAGCTTTCCTGTATGACAAAATGGGAAGCTGACCTGGGCAAGACCCCGGATCAGGCAACTTGAAACAACATTTGGTTGGCTCTCTCCAAGTGTTCCCAAAATATATTCGCTGAAGAGATTGCATTTAAATTGCTTTCCCATTGGTATATGACCCTTGATCGTATGTCCCAGTTTGTTCCCAACGCATCCCCAATGTGTTTTTGTGGTTGTAAGGTATGGGGTACTTTACTTCACATTTGGTGGACTTGCCTGAATGTAATCCATTTCTGGTCTCTGGTGTATACCATGATTAGAACCACCTTGGCTTTGCTCCTGGCATGTAACCCATGGAAAGCTTTATTAAATAAACCCATAGCAGCTTTGTCCAAACATCAGCAGAGATGGGTGGGCTTTGTTTTCCTGGTGACCCGCCAAACAATGGCTGAGGCCTTGTGTCAACAGTTCCTTCACCCAACTGAAGTTAAGAATCTACTCATGGGGCCATGGTACATGAGAAGCTTACTTCCATTCTGAATGACACAGATGCCCAATTTCTGAAACCCCCATTGTGGCTATATGGTGGTCTCCTGCGGATCACTCCCTCCCCTCCCCTCCATCTCTTTCACTTCTTCTCTTTCTTCTCTCTTCTTTCTCCTCACTTGCTGTGGTTTTATTTTTTGTCTTCTTTTAAATTAATTGTTTTGGGTTTTTATGGGCTTTTGTTCGTAGGGCAAATGCTGCTCCCTCCATTGGGTCGTCGGCGGCCCCAACTTTTCATGAGACGCAGACCCCGCATGTTCATATACTCCTATATACAGCTGTCTGTCTGAAGTTTGGCTGTGAGGCCCAGTTATCGTATCTGTTCTGTGTTGCACTGCTCTCACTATTTATGACACCTTGGCTCACATTGTCTTGTATTATATTGATTTGTTTTCTTATTACTTTTTTATATGTTACCTTTTGTACTGAGATCTTGTGCTATATGTTATTTTTGAAAACCTCAGTAAATATTTTGTAAAAGAAGTAGCACAAGGTGACGAATCAGTTCATGTGCTGACAAGAAGCAAACCAATAGGAAGATATAGAAGAGTGACAGAAAGCGAGATCATCACTGTGCCCCTACCCCATCACAGACCGCTCCATCACAGCCCCCCATCACTGACAACCCATAACAACACCCCCCAAATAATTTGCTTCCTAACATGAAAAGCCCTGTCCTATGTCCACATCTGCTGTGTTTGTGTGAATAAGGTAGGACAGTGTGGGGTGTGGGGGGGGGGAGTGATGAAAGGAAAAGACCTGCTGCGCCTCCCCACACTTCCCTTCCTTGAGGATAATAGTAGCAGCATCGGCAGGCAGGCGAGTCGGCGGCAGGGGGAGGACATTCAGGGAACTATTTGGTGAGGCTGCAGTCCGGAAACATTTAGTGATTTCTGATCTAGGCCATCAGACTGAGGATACCTAACACAAGAAAAAATAAACTGTTATGATATACTGATATCTTGGAACTGAAGGTGGATACTGTAGCCAAAGCTAGATTGTTGTTTTATTTTTTAACAGGGTATTTGGTTTTCTTATGTCTGGCTGAAGGGGCCACTTTAAATATGCATTTCTATTATTTTAAACAGTGCAGCATCCATATTATAAGTTGGTGATTTAAAAACCTCATTTGAAACATGTATTTTGCAAAACATCATTACAATGCATCATAGGTTGAACTGGATGGACTTTTTTTTTTTCTTTTTTTAATTTTTTTTTTTTTTTTGCCTTAATCTACATAACTATTTTTTTCTTTGCTTGTTTATAGATGGAAGAACAGAAAAAGAAAACTGAAAGAACAGACTATTGGTTGCAACCTGTGAGTAAAATGTAAAGCAGGAAATCCAACAATAGACGTACAATTCAAAATAAATGAAACAAGGTTTATTGAAGAAAACAAATCCTATATGTCCAAATATGTATAAGCAGTCCATTTATTTATTTATTTACTTTTTTTTTGCGTGATATAGCTTGTTTGGGTCCAGTGATATATGTATATATCTGTGTGTCTATATATATTTATATATATATATATATATATATATATATATATATATATATATATATATATATATAGTTATAGTGTGTGTGTATAAAAAAAATCTAGGGTCATATGAGGAAAGCTATTGTGGATTCTGCAAATGTTTGTTATTAGATATTTGTAATTTTTAGATTGCTTTACCACAATTTTCTGAGTGGGCAAGCATGTTTATGCATGACCGATCAAATATTTTTTTGATTCCACAAATTGTTCACAGATTATGAATGCATTTGCTCTTTCTCATTCTCTTATTTTCTCAAGGCGACATTTACCTTGTGAGAGTGTCTCTACAAAGGCCCCTTCCAAACCACCTATATTTGTCTTGCCTAGACTACCCTGCTGCTCCTTGCTCTGCCGCAGCCAATCACTTTACCCGAGCACTGTCACAGGACCCCAGGGATTGACACGACCCCTCACCCTAGTTGTAGACCTCAGTGGTTTATTTTTTTTTTTAGTGCCAGCTTTGACAGATGAAGGAGAATCTAGGGAATGCTGGAAAGGTGAGAATATAGGATCAAGGGAACCCTTTGTGACTTACTCCTCCATTTTTACTTGTGCCCTTGTCTTGTTTGAGAGGGAAATTGAGGTTTATACATCAGATCCCTGAAGTCATTTCAGACAGGAATGTTGAAGTAGTGGATTGAACTGCATGGACATTGAACATAGTTACCACTATTTTGCGACAGTGTCCTTTTAAAATGAACATGTTCTAACAACCCTTTTAATGATTGTTTTCAGTATATATTTTTTTTTCTTTTCTCTATATTTATTTGTATTATCAGTTACAGTGTTTGAGCAGTTGCAGTTTTTTTCAGGATTAAAGGATAAGTTTGCCTTTGGGAACATGTAACCTGATCCACCCATTTGTTGTGTGGAACATGTGACATGTTCCCGATCCCTTTCCCCCCGCCCCCCCTCCCCTCGTAGCAGTGTGATCCTTTCACCACACCCACTGTCACAATTTGAAAAGAGCATGGCCATGCAGGGCTTTCGACCCCAAGGTCATGTCCTTCACTTTTGAGTTTTGTGATCAGATGCCTGCAAGTACCAGCAGCCTTTGTGGCTGACAGCTTGTAGTCTTCAATAAACTGTGAGGCCGCTGGTGAGCTCTCTTGTAGTTTGAGTTTCTGGACTGAAGTAACTGCCTGTCTGTATCAGAGGTACAGGCAGACAGCTACACCGACAGTCTAAAGCAGCCTTTCTCAACCAGAGTGTCCAGGCACCCTGGGGTGCCTTGGCAAAATGTCTAAAAATTGCCCAAAACTTGTATACAAGCCAGCGAGTGGAACAAGCCTGCCTTTTGGTTACACAAAGCCACAGGTTTTCATTGTGCACCATTACAACCTTCTAGCCGCCGACATCCTGACCACTAATGACATCATCAGTTGATGAGGAGAATGTCAGCTGCCTGCACAGCATCCTAGTTTGACCCTGCCCTGCCCCTCTCCATCAGTGCTGGGGTCAATTTAGCTCAGTGATGGAGAAAAACAGGAAGAAGAGAAACATTGGAATACTAGTCGGTACCAGTGTGCAAAAGTGTATTTGCTTTGGAAGAATAAATCACCTCTAATGTTGGGTGTCCTACATGTGTGAATGTTGCTGTGGTATATAAAACTATTAGAATAGTTTTTCACATTTTAGAATGGTGTGCCTCGAGACTGTCCATAATTTTAAAGGGTGCCTTGACTGAAAAAAGGTTTAGAAACACTGGTCTAAAGGAGAGCCTGATGCTATCTGTTGATCATGGGTGCAATGCTTTACAGGCACCTAAGAATACCTGCAAAAAATGTGCATTTATTTATTTTAAAGGTGAACTTATCCTTTAAGTTATGAGAATGGAAAGGTATGTGTTACAACTCCCCCCCCCCCCCCCCCCATCCTTGTAGTGTAATACTCTGTTCTATCCCCTGTAACTGTTTTGCTGAACAGCTTGGTCTGCATGAAAAGGATATATAAAGACACCAAAAATAATATTAATATGCAGAAGACTGTCATTATATGTAATTACTGAAAACAAATATCAGAATGATAGTGGTTCTGTAAAGTCTTCTCGCCCTTGAAAGGGGTACTTTGCTAATGCTATGTATGAATGTTTAATCTTGTTTTTTATTTTTAAGGATATTGTTGTAAAAATTGTAACAAAGAAGTTGGGTGACCGCTATTACAAGAAAAAAGCAGTAGTAAAGGTAACTATTTGTTTAATCTTTGATGTGTCTGATATATTTTCAATATGTTTATGCTGTTTCCTATTAAATAACTCCTATCGTTCTAACCATGTTTCATGTTACACCCATATTCGGATTCTGATTCTATTCAAGGTTTACCATGAACCATGGTTAGAATGCAGATTTCCCCTTCCTTTCTTTACAGGATTGCCAGATTCTTGTCCTCGCAGCATCCTGTTCTCACAGCCTCATTCATTCACGGGAAGCTTTGAATAAAAAAAACTACAAGTTCTGTCTGCCATCGCAGCAGAGGGACTGTAGTTCTCAATTTAGTAATAGTGTGGTGACGTAACTGCACTTGTTCAATGATAGATCCTCCAGTTGTGTGCCTGAATGGGCTGGAGGAAGAGTCTGCAAAAGCCAGAGCATTGCATCTGCTGTTGACTAAGTGCAGAGCAAGTGACGCAAGGGGCAGAGGCCAGGAGCAAGTGACGCAAGGGGCAGAGGCCAGGAGCAAGTGACGCAAGGGGCAGAGGCCAGGAGCAAGTGACGCAAGGGGCAGAGGCCAGGAGCAAGTGACGCAAGGGGCAGAGGCCAGGAGCAAGTGACGCAAGGGGCAGAGGCCAGGAGCAAGTGACGCAAGGGGCAGAGGCCAGGAGCAAGTGACGCAAGGGGCAGAGGCCAGGAGCAAGTGACGCAAGGGGCAGAGGCCAGGAGCAAGTGACGCAAGGGGCAGAGGCCAGGAGCAAGTGACGCAAGGGGCAGAGGCCAGGAGCAAGTGACGCAAGGGGCAGAGGCAGGAGCAAGTGACGCAAGGGGCAGAGGCCAGGAGCAAGTGACGCAAGGGGCAGAGGCCAGGAGCAAGTGACGCAAGGGGCAGAGGCCAGGAGCAAGTGACGCAAGGGGCAGAGGCCAGGAGCAAGTGACGCAGGGGCCAGGAGCAAGTGACGGAAAGGGGCAGGGGCCAGGAGCAAGTGACGGAAAGGGGCAGGGGCCAGGAGCAAGTGACGGAAAGGGGCAGGGGCCAGGAGCAAGTGACGGAAAGGGGCAGGGGCCAGGAGCAAGTGGCGGAAAGGGGCAGAGGCCAGGAGCAAGTGGCGCAAGGGGCAGAGGCCAGGAGCAAGGGGCAGAGGCCAGGAGCAAGTGATGTAGTAGGATGTGGCACAGAATTGAGGTAGTTACATCAATCAAGGTGTTCAAAACCCAGAAGATGGGTCCACAGAAATATATGGGTGGACTTTAGTATAGGCAGAGGCCAGGATACCACAACCAGTTCTGTGAAAAAAAAAAAAAAAATTTGTGATGCTTTTTAGGTTTTTTTGGAGTTTGTCTGCTACTCATTAAGTGCTCTGATTTTGACAGACATACAGTTTTTTTTGATAGAAGAATCTCCTGTCTGGGAGTATTTCTTGTACTGAACCTGGCCTATGAGATGATGAATGGCAGGTAACAATAACTGCTCTGCCATTGCTAATAAATTTATATTAGTGTAGTATATTTATTGGTTCTATTTAGTAATTTCCACACCTTTAACATTTTATAACCATATCCAGCTGTGTAATTGAAATAATTATTTCTTACTCTTAGGAAGTGCTTGATAGATACACAGCAGTTGTGAAACTTGTTGATTCTGGAGATAAACTGAAGCTTGACCAGACACATCTAGAAACTGTTATCCCAGCACCAGGTAAAACGAAAATATCAGTATATTACTGTTGCAGATCTGTTGTGTGCTACATGCACAACATCTCCTGTGTAATAGGATATAAGGGAAATCAATGCTTTTGAATATTTTTTGAGTCAGAATATTCTTCAGAAAGCACCAGGCACTTCTGGGGTCATATGAAAAGATTATAACTCCTTGTCCATTGTACTTTATATCACTAAAAAAGTATTTGCATAGGTAATGAGTAATGGGTTCATTTCTCCTGAACATGACTTTTTTAAATGTACACTTCTGTCCTTTTCCCCAAATCATCATTGAACCATTTAATGCATAGTTAAAATGGAACAAAGATTTACTTTCTAGGTCACTTTTCATGGCTGTTGATGCTTTGGTTAGTAAGGAAAAACATTCAAGATCTTGATGAATGCATTTTTGACAGTCATACCTGGCTTGCCCAGACTTCTTGTTTTTTTTGTTTTTACAATCACTGGTGTTTTGAAAAGAAAATTTGAAACCTTACCAGCTTTAAAACGTTATTTGTCCAACACAAATTCATAAAAATTCATTTAGTTGGCACACTACCACTGCTTTTCAGGTAAACAAAACGTGTTCCTTATAACAAAGACTAATCTTTGGTGCATTCTTGTGGATTATATCTCACAAATGCTGGTAGCATTGGCATAAAAAAAACAAACCCCTCGCTTCTGTAGATGGTTTACATTTTTCTGCAGGCTTTTTAGTAGAAGTGATTCACTTCAACATCCTTCACAATGTACTGCCCCCACCAAGCACCCCATGCCTACTTTCTCTTCTTGGGTGTCTGGGGCCATCATGGTTGGTGTCAGGATGGAGAGAAGCAAGTGTACATTGCTGTACTGATCTTCCCTGCGGCGAATGAACCTGAAAGCACACATCTGGGTTCAGAGCTGTCAATTCCTGGCAGCTCTGCCCAGGGAAGATGCTAATTCAGCACTGTTTGTGCTCAGTTGTCTTCAACAAAGTCCAGGGGTGACATTTGATATCTGAGACCCCTGAAGACTCGTTAAAGAGAACTTCTCGCCTGCACTATGCTATTGCATAGGGTTCTAATCAGCCCACTTGTGATGGCAATAAAGTTGCATAAAAAAAAAAGAAAGTTTATTATATAAATTTTAAAGCACCTCACACCCCTGTGTACACACACATACCAACACAGATGCATTTATACAAAAACAACAGTTGCACCACATGCATATTGAGTTTCATCGTATTCACTGTTCACTCTAAAGTGATGACCTGTAAATATTTAAACTGTCGCTTATGGACAAATTGTAGTTCAGTTTGTTGCCTTCACCATCAAACGTGTTTTTGAGGCCTCATATATTTTTAATTGTTTTGCTTAACACAAGGCTATCTTATATCTTATCAATAAATTGGGGATTATAATGTGTTTATGTGCCCTAAAATTAATTTGTGTATTTTTACTGAAATTATAGATTTGATAAACAGTAGTGCAATTGTGCGATATAAAATATTTCAATTGCCTCCATTTTATTCTGCAGGGCCCCTGCTTTCAGAAAATGTATGGTGTGTAGGATGTTTTCATTAATCTGCAAATCTAAAATGTGCATTAAACGTGCAGAAAAAAAAACAGCGCTGGCAGAGAACTTCTCTTTAGATTTGCTGTCTGTCATGTATCTATTTGCCTAGCATCATGTTTGCAGTTTGGTGCTAACCAGTTGATGATGTGCAAATAGGGAAATGTACTAGTTCCTTAGTCTTGTATGACTTAGCATGTTGTAAAGCAGAGAAAATAAATCTAAATTAATTTTATAAACTGGTCTAATTAAAAGCTATTTTCTTTATATGTTGGTTATCTTTGGTTTAATGTTGAACAAGGTTAACTATGTCATTTGAGGTTTTGCTTTAAACAGGACCAGTCATGACTAGACTGTATAGTCAGTAGTATGAACCAGTCAAGCATTCAGTAATAAGTTTATTACTTGGGATGCAGAAATGAGATACTAATATTTTTTTTCTTAATTACTAATGACAGGGTTTCTTTAGTAACTCCCATTTAAAAAAAAAAAAAACACGGACTGCATTTAGTTCCTTTGACAACTAAAAATTGATATATTGGAGGAACTAGCAAAAAATGATGTAGGCATAAAGCCTGTCCCACTCTTCTAAACTGAAAAAACATAAGATCCTATTCTTAATTACCAAAGACCCTTTTGTTAATTTAGGAGTGGTCTGCTCCATCTTTTTTTGCCATGCCTGCACCAGCCACTGCATATGGTGCATGAGAGGTTAAAGCAGTATTAAACCCAAAAGCAAATATGTAATATATATTGCAGCTTGCCAGTCATTAGATGTGGTGGATACATTATTTTTTTTTTTCTTTTTTCCCCTCTGTTGTGCTCTGGTGATCTCACCAGTAACACACCTCCTGTATTAGGGTGCCTCCACTCTGGATCTAGAAGCACAGCAGGCAGCAGCAATGTCAGGGAGGGGAGTGTTAAATGTAATAGCAGATTTAAATACACTTACAATTTGAACTCAAACTCCAATTTACACTTTGTAATCAGTTAAAGCAAGCTTCTTTTTTTTTTCTTTTGAGATAAAGGTTTTACATGAATAAATCAAAGCTGATCACTGTAAGCACCGCTGTCGGTGTTAAATGGGTTGTCTCATGCCTGTAAACCTCTGTTCTTTTGAAAAACAGACTTGCTGGTTCATCAGATTAAAATAGAAGAAAGAGAGCCTAAAAATGAAACCTAATACAGCTATCACATCTAAGAATTGTTAAGCTGCAATATAACATTGTCTTTTGGGTTTAATATTGCTTTCAATACAACATGCGCAGCTCCTCAGGCACCCAAGAGCTCTAGGGATTTTTTGCCTTGCCAAGAGCTGGGAAGCATTTGTGTACATGAAGTTTAAGATGTTCTTGAGATCATTCAAAAGTTTTCAGCCAGGTGCATTTGACCTGAATTTTACTTGCTCCTAAGCTTCAACAACCTGCTTCTGGCTATGTTTGCATCCCCATTGACTTTTATGAGAAGAAAAGAAGTTCTGGTGTGAACAAAAGTCTATTGACAAAGTCTCTTAAGTTTGATCTTGTTCCTTTACTTTTCCAGGGAAGAAAGTATTTGTTTTAAATGGTGGCTACAAGGGAAATTCTGGCTTTCTAGATTCGATAAATGAGAAGAGCTTTTCTGCCACAATAATTATTGACTCAGTAAGTATATATGTTTACGTGTGTGTGTGGGATATATATATATATATATATATATATATATATATATATATATATATATATATATATATATATACACACACCTCAAAAAATTTAAGGGAACACTTTTTAATCAGAGTATAGCATCAAGTCAATTAAACTCCTGGGATATTGATCTGGTCAGTTAAGTAGCAGAGGAGGTTGTTAATCAGTTTCAGCTGCTTTGATGTTAATGAAATTAACAGGCGCACTAGATGAGCAACAATGAGACGACCCCCAAAACAGGAATGGTTTTACAGGTGGAGGCCACTGACTTTTTTTCCCCACTCATCGTTTCTGACTGTTTTCATTAGTTTTGCATTTGGCTAGGTCAGTGTCACTACTGATAGCATGAGATGATTCCTGGACCCTACAGAGGTTGCACAGGCAAGTCCAACTCCTCCAGGATGGCACATCAATACGTTCCATTGCCAGAAGGTTTTCTGTGTCTCCCAGCACAGTCTCAAGAGCATGGAGGAGATTCCAGGAGACCAGCAGTTACTCATGAGAGCTGGACAGGGCTGTAGAAGGTCCTTAACCCATCAGCAGGACCGGTATATGCTCCTTTGCACAAAGAGGAACAGGTTGAGCACAGGCAGAGCCCTACAAAATGACCTCCAGCAGGCCACTGTGGGAATGTTCTGACCACACAAACAGAAACAGACTTCATGAGGGTGGCTTGAGGGTCCGATGTCCTCTAGTGGGCCCTGTGCTCACTGCCTGGCCCCTTAGAGCTCAATTAGCATTTGCCATCGAACAGCAGAATTGGCAGGTCCACCACTGGCGCCTGGGGTTTTCACAGATGAGAGCAGGTTCACCCTGAGCACATGTGACAGACGTGAAAGGGTGTGGAGAACATTATGTTGCTTGTAACATCGTTCAGCATGACCATTTTGGTGGTGGGGCACTGATGGTCTGGGGAGGCGTATCCACGTAGGGACACACAGACCTCTACAGGCTAGACAATGGCAAACTGACTGCCATTCGGTATCAGGATGAAATCCTTGGACACATTGTCATACTCTACGCTGTCGCAGTGGATCTTGTGTTCCTCCTGGACCCACGACAATACCCATCCCATATGACGAGAGTATGCAGGCAGTTCCTGGAGGATGAAGGAATTGATACCATTGAATGGCCCCCACGCTCGCCTGACCTAAATCCTAAATCCAATAGAACACCTCTGGGATTTCATGTTTCAGTCCATCCAACGCTGCCATGTTGCACCTCAGACTGTCCAGGAGCTCAGTGATGCCCTGGTCCAGATCTGGGAAGAAATACCCCAGGACACTTCCCTCATCTTATTAGGAGCATGCCCCGACCTTGTGAGGCATGCATACAAGCACGTGTGGGCCATACAAACTACTGAGGACCATTTTGAGTTGCTGCAATGAAATTTTCAGCAAAATGGACTAGCCTTCTGCATCACCTTTTCAGTTTGATTTTCGGGGTGTCTTTGAATTCAGTTAATTTTTATTTTCATCCTTACGTTCCTAACACATTACCCAGTCCATATCAATATAGATATCTAGCATGATATTTTTCCCCATTGAGATCTGATGTGTTTTCAAAATGTTCCTGTAATTTTTTTGAGCAGTGTATATACTCACAGAATTGAGTGTGTGTGTATGTATGTATGTATGTACATGCACACTGTATATACGAGGGGTGTTCAAGTCAAACCGGGACTTTTGACATCATAAAAAAGCAAATTTCAAGGAGTGGAAACTGCATTTTTTTTTTCAACATACTCTGCTACATTTATACACATATCATAGCGTTTAACTAATGCCTGGAAAGCTTCGGCATAGAAAGATTTGCCAGTACTCCTGAACCTTCCTAGGACAGCCCACTTCACTTCGTCATCATTGTGTTCACCGTTCCCACAGAAAGAATAGTCTCTCTGCAATTTTAACGACAGGTTATGTATTGATTATCCAGGGTTAGGCATTCCACACGTGGAATGTTCACAAGAATGACTGCTCTGGGCTGGGAACCATTACGGCTGGAATTGCCACTGATGGGCGTACGGCCATCTTTGAAATGTTTACATCATTCAAATGTCTTACTGCAGCTGAGTGTCTCATCACTGTACTGTGCTTGAAGTCTTCTGTAGATATCTGTGGGTTTTACACATTCGTTCACAAATCACATGTGTTCCATTCACGCACTAGCACTGTTGTCTGCCATCTTGATTAATGGTCTGTGGACTGGCCTGTGACATGTGCGCCACCTATCATTAATAGGACACACTTGCCACTTACTACTGCATGTAGTACAGCCACATTAGCATTCCTTTTTATACCTGTAAAATTAAAAGTCCCGGTTTGACTTGAACGCCCCTCATAAAATATATGTATTGTATTGTTTTCTTCTTTGTTTAACCTTTCATGAATGTGCATTTCCAGGGTCCTTTGAAAGGTCGTAAGGTGGAAGGGCTGCCATACGAGGATTTTTCGAAGCTGGCATGATTACTCTGTACAAATCTGATGAAAACATACAGAACTCTACTATGTCAGGGTTTTTATTGACTGTATATATTTGTGGATAATTCATTTTGGATGGTCTGGGACTAGCCTCAACTTGCACCTATCCTTTCTTCCTACATTTATTATTGTTTATCTCTTACTAATGTTATAGAAGGTGTTTTATTTAGGAATTTCCTTTAATAAAATACTTTTTTATGAAATGTGTATAAATGTATTTGCTCAGGAACACACATTTATTCTTGTCTTCTGACTTTCCAGTGTATTTTTCTATATCCTGCCTACTGAAGGGAGCACTACTTCACCGTGATAATTATTTCCACTAATGGCTACTGTCTGTGCAATTTTACTTTCTAAAAGGAATTTTTGTTCAGCTTAGTCTCAAAAGCTAGATGCACATCATAGGTAGAATTCTTTTTCTTTTCCTTCTTTTGTGTGTGCTGTAATATAGACATGAAGGTGCTGCATGCCAACCTTTTCTCTTTTGTGCACTTGTCATGCAGAGTCTTTGCTTTGGTTATATTTGTCAATTGAGGGAAAAAAAAAATATTTTTTATAATAAAGCAATAAAGGGCAGCACACAGTTACTTTATTTCAGTATTACATGAATTATAACAACCACTTTATACACCATGTTTATATAAATAAAGCAAGAATGAATACATCTGTTCCTGTATGAAAAGCATGATACAGTTTGGTTTTATGAGGCTGCAAGTAAGATATGTTTATTCACATTCATTAGAAGTTAGCTTTTATCAAGATGAGGGTGTGTATACTATTCTTCTTTGCTATTTTAATTTAATGAGGTATTTCCCAATTGAAGTCCTGGACCCTTAAAAAAAAGCTGTGTGCTGTTCCATTGCATTTCCAATCATTAATATGAATGTTACTCTTAATACTGAAAATAAGAATTTGGAATAGAAAATAATACCATGTTCATCGTTTATTGTAACTGGAGACACATGTTTCCCATGCTATCATATATATGTGTTAGGCTCCTCAAAGGTGTTTTAAGAAGCTGTATAGCTGAGGTACCATGTAGTCTTTGTAATGTCCGTCGATAAAACCTTTTCCATTATTGTGTACAAACCAGCAGGTGACTTTAGTGCCGAGCAGGTTATTATGCTGGAATTCTTTCTGCATTCCCCTGTAACATAGAATAACAAAGTCAAAAGTTTGAAAAGCACAGAAAATCTGTGCTACATCTCATTCTGTCAGTAACCGATAATAAATATGCAATTGTTTGTTGGAATTTACAGCTTAATAGTGTTTATTGAATGTCAGATAACCTTACATTACAAAGAACACATACTGTGTGAATTGGCAACTAACCCATGAGCGAGTTGTTGAATTTGGTATACAAAGCCATGCCCGATAAAGTAAAGTTACAGCCAACACTTTTTTTTTTTTTTTTTTTTTTGAAGGTTAGGACAGAGTAGAGAAGGGTTACAACCTGTCAATTTATTTTTTTCTTGTCTTTGTACCATTGGGAAAATATCCCTTCCATTCCTGTTGCAGAAATCAAACAGAAAATTGTAATATATCTCCCAAAGAGATGCTTATTCCTCTGAAAGTTTTCCTTGAAATAGCTGTTCTGATTGAAAGATTTCCCCTCACTTCCTGTTTTTTGGATAATGGTAAAATGCTGTATTCCTCCTTACCTTCATGCTCAGTGATAATTGTCACCAGTACAAACCTTTCCCTGCCCTATCCAAAACTAAACAAAAATGCCTAGAAATACAACTTGATGTGTAGCAAATTTGGACAAAATTGTACACATAATTTTTATAATTCCTAATTTCTGTTTTGAAAATAAGACAATCCCTTTAGTTAGTAAAGAGTAACACTGCATGATTACTTACAATAGTTCTCTTTTTAGGTCCAACCCCCATCCAAATCGTTATACTTAAGCACTCTGCTCCTGCCAGATCCCTGCAGTGCAGCACATTGGGAGCTGCATAGTCGCAGCTGCAAACTCTTTACCAGACCCTCAGTTCTGCTCGTGTGGAATGATTCCAGTTATTACTATAATTGGGCTGCCTATCATAGGGACACAGTACGGGAACTTTTTCATATAAATGAAAAATATTTCTTAGTGTATGTGTTGAAGTGAGGCACAGCTTGTAAGAGTTTGCCATGGCAGCTGTGCAACTCCCTGTAAATCTGTCAGGAATGTGGCTAGATGTGTGTATAGGGGAGGGAGGGGATAAAGTGGTTGTAAACTCTCATATACACAGTGAAGTGAATAGCCTCAGATGACACATGTAGGAGGATTTTTTCACCTCTGTAAGATTTACTTGTTTATTTGCATATCTTGTCTTTTCTACATCCCTTTAAAAGTGCTGATTTTGGGTAAAATCCCTCTGCATTTCTCAGTATCACAGAGAAGGGGGCAGGGAGCTGAAGTTAGAGCTAATTGGAGGAAAGGTACCCATCCCCCTCCACACAGCACACAGGAGCTATGTTCTGAGTAGAGAACTGTCTGCTGGGCTCTTGTCCCCCCCCCTCAAATATTTCTCATGTGCTGGAAAACTTCTCAGAAGTGACTCATACGATAACGGAGGAAGGAAGTCCAAGAGAGAAACAACACTTACAGCTTTCAAAAGAGACATGTAAACACTACAGATAACTGTGCTCTGTTCAGATTTCATGACTGAGGTTTAGAACCACTTTAAATGAAAGAATAACTATATGAAAGTATTCATGGCTGCCCTAAACAACCCATAGAGCGCCAATCCAAGTACCAACATATAAGAAAGCTGGTGACCCAATGGTGCAGGTTGCCGGCTTCAAGGAGGAGTTCACCCAGCCCACTGAAATTGACTATAAGAATGATTGGAAGCCACACTCCAGCAGTCCACTCAGTCCCGATGTGTGAAAGGTCAGCTTTAGAGTGATTTCCCAACAAAATGAATCACAGAGATGTGGATGGATGGGGGAGTTTGCTTTTGAATATTAAAAATAAATTAAATAGCGTTTTCAGTTTGTGGTGCCCAGATACAGTTTAGTAATGCTTTAAATCTTAAAACATCTGAGTGATAAGACAACTGGGGGATTGTTGGAGAGGTGCATGGAAGCGTTTTGCCTGTCAAACACCTATCCAGTGGGGGGAATAGCAGATTGCATGTGTACCCTGTCATTGCAGACAGTATTCATTTTGCCACAAAAGAATGCAAAGGACACACATCTTAACCCCTTGGCTCCAGTGCCTCCCGGCCCTTTAAGGGTTTCTGGAGACAGGGTGGGGTTTTAGGGTCGTGACTGCCGTGATTCGCTGTCACGGCGGTCACATGATCAGGAAAGATCGCGATTGTAAGAGGAGATCGTGAGTGGCGGACATGTGTGCTGGGAGCGTGCAGGGTGTGCTCTCTCAGCACACGTTTGTCTTAATTGCACGCAAATGTGCGGCCACTGAGCGTCAAGGCCCAGACGCTGAGAGGCCGCACATTTGCGTGCGGCCGGCGCCAAGAGGTTACAGTCTCAGGGCAGTAAATATAACGCTCAAAAAAATTAAAGGATCACTTTGAAAACACATCAGATCTCAATGGGGAAAAAAAAAAAATCTCATGCTGGTTATCTGTACTGATATGGACTGGGTAATGTGTTAGGAATGTAAGGATGCCCCATCGTTTGAAGGAAATGAATTCAAAGACACCCTGAAAATCAAAGTGAAAAAATAATGCAGCAGGCTAGTGCTTGTATGCATGCCTGACAATGTCAGGGCATGCTCCTAATGAGATGACTGATTGTGGGGTATTTCCTCCCAGATCTGGACCAGGGCTTCACTGAGCTTCTGGACAGTCTTAGATGCAACCTGGCAGCGACATATGGACCGAAACATGATATCCACGAGGTGTTCTATTGGATTTAGGTCAGGTGAGTGCGGGGGCCATTCAATGGTATCAATTCCTTCATCCTACAGGAACTACCTGCATACTCTCACCATATGAGGCCAGGCATTGTCATTCACCAGGAAGAACCCAGGACCCGCTGCATCAGGGTAAATCTTTAAACAAATACAATGCCATGGTGAGTATATGGTAGAAATGGCGGGTAGGTCGATTCTACAAATGGAACTCAACAACCATATAAACGTGCTGCACTGTGGTTGCTTTATGTGGTTGTTGAGTTTCATTTGCAGAATCAACCTGACCTTTTAGAGGGCTTGTTGGAGGACACAGTGACCATATACAAAGGGAAGATTTTATGCATGGAAGAAATCACTTCATTACCCCCATTTAGAGGGGAGATGCCCTATTGCCCTGTTTCACATATGGGTCCACATATGAAAGTGAGGGTCCATTTCTACCATATACTCACTGTGGTGGTGTATTCCTTTAAAGATTTACAGCACTGGGATTGTGGTGGTTTACTTTTCAGTAGATACATGGTCTTTCCCACGAAGAATTCCTGAAGAGTTGTTTTTTCTGTACTCATTCGGACTTTTTATGTTGGACTTTCATGTTTGTCGAATTTCGATTTGGTTTTAGTCATTGTCTTTTGACTAAAATGCCATTTTAATTTTGGTCGTATTTTCTCTATCTGAATTGTTTTAGTTGTATTTTAATTGACTAAAATCTCCAATATGTTTTATTCGACTAAAATCTAATGGGTTTAGTTAAATTGTAATGCATTATTTAAGCATGTCTAGAATTTCTAAACTCATATGTTCCTGGAGTAAATATTTAATAGCATATTATTATTTATGGTGTTAAGGTTTGAACATGCACTATAGAAACAGATTTAGTCATTATGATATACAACACATTGATGGGGAAGTAAATGGGAGTGAGGGAGTGCACTGGGAAGGGTGCATTATACTTTGGGGATGGAGAGGTGACCTGCAAGTGGGAATGCGGAAGTAAATGGGAGTGAGGGAGTGCACAGGGCAGAGAAATGGATGATCTGGGGAAGCTGTTATTTTACACAGTGCTATGCACTTCTACTTTGCTGGGAGGAGAAACACCACATCACATCCGGACAAA